CAACTCATAAATAAAAAATATTGTAATTTAAAAACTTCATTTCCCTGGGAATCTGGGGAGAAAATGTAGAACAAACAATGACATATTTAGAAGATTGTTCTTCAGTTATATCCCAATTGATTCTCTCACACCTATGAGGCAAGTGCTGACTACAAAGCTAAAAACAGAGCTAGAAACTGCATCTTAATGATGGTGTGGAGAGGGAGAAGTGTGTGTTCAGTGTGGAGGTGAGGAGGAAAACTGGGCCAATGACTTTTGCAAGCGAATGTGACAAAGCAGTGAATATTAAGTTTGCATTTTATAGTCAGTCTGGCAGTAGGGCAGGGATAGTAGGAAGTTTTAGTCTTCAGAGTTCATGTAGGTTTAAAGGAGACTTCTGGGAGAAGAAAGTCCCAGATCTTGATTTGCTTTTATTGAGCGTCAAAAATATAAATCATGCCGGTGGGGAGAGGGTGAGTGCTCACTGAGGCTGTAGGCAGAGACCACAAAGAAGCCTTTCCAAACAGGACAAATCTCATATTCAGAAAGAACTGTTAACTCCCAGGAGGTAGGGCAGGCTGACACCAGACTTCACTCCAACCTGTGTATTTGGGATAACTAGGTGTATGTGAATTGAAAAAGCTGCAAAATAAAGACTGAAGCACCCAGAAACTCTTGTTTTGAGATGCCACTAAAGGATAGAACTATCTTTAAGTGAAGTACCTCCATAGATAAGCTCAGCCCCACTTGTTACCCACACTTCAGCACCTTGCTCTACTTTTCTGGCAAAAAGACCTCTGGAAACTCTAAATAGTTCCCATGGTCTTAAAGCCTCTGTCACTCACTGCCACCCTTGGCAGGGCAGGGGGAGATGGAAGGGACTGAGAGGGATATGGGCAGGGACTGAGTCACAGGTTCCTCTTCTCCTATCACTGCAGGACTCAGTTGCTACTCTACCGAACCCATGGAAGCTCTGGATTCTCCAGTGAGTGTGCCCAGAATAACTAGGTGACACACCCCAGAAGTGCAGGAGTGGTGTGAGCCATAGGACAAATTCTGGCAAACAAGAGAGAAAAAATTGGAAAGAGTTTACAAAATTTCTGTCCTCCACTTCTACTACTAGGCTATTCCAAGACACAGTGATTCCAAGTGAACTCTCAGGAGATATATTTCCACAGTACTGAGAAATAAGCTAGGTTTTGAAGCTAGTTGAAAAATGTGCCACTTTGTATTTGCTTTCTTCCTGCATCTTCTTACTTTCCTTTTACCCTCGCTTCTATTTCCCTGCAATTATAGCCCCCAATGAGGCACTAGCATGCAACTCAAGTTATTTTCTAGAGAACCAAGGCAAATACAGAATGTAAAAAAAAAAGGCAGACAGTGAAAGTTTATATTGAAGACAAGGACATGACAAGGAAGACTGAAGTATGCAGCATGGCTCAGTAATTATATCAGGGGAAGCAGATCTGGGCTCTGGATTCATCATCAAGATGGGTTGACAAATTTAGAGGTAAAAGTAGAGAGTGGTAGAGAGTGTTGGCCACCTGAGACCCAATCACCATCACTTCATAATATGACCACATAACCAATGTGGACTTGTATCCCCTGAATCTAAAAGAAATACAAAGAAAAAAGAGTAGAGAGTGGTTATAAAATTCTACCTCCAGGAGGTACATTTCCTGTTCTATAGGAGGTGGCAACAAAGACAACCAAAAGGACCTTTCCATGGACATATAGGCCTATACCTTGGTGAGGTTCTCATTTGAGAATTATCCACAGCATTGAGTCTTTGTAGCAACAAGTGGTAATGAGAAATAATCAGCCATCATTAAAAATGAAGAAAATTGAACATCTGAAGCCCAATCTCAATCAGACTGCAATATGCTTATATAACAAACAGGCACTTGTATCTCCTGAATCTAAAATTTAAAAAGTGAATTTAAAAAATGAAGATAGAGTGAGTGGCTCTGTGTCTACTGAAGACTCTCTTTTGTGAAAAACTTAGAAGCCTGTGTTTTGTTTTCTAAGGAGAATAGGGTAGGGTGATTCTTGTATATACATATCACATTATTAAATTCTTACCATGGTCCAGGGGAGCAGGTATTATTCTCATCCTCATTTTACGGATTAGGAATGCGAAACTTAGTGAGGTTAAGTACTATGTCCAAGGTTACACAGATTTGCTCAAAATCCAAGCTATTTTTAAAAATTGTTGTTGCTGTTTTGTTTTGAGTCAGAATCTCACTGTCACAGAGGCTGGAGTGCAGTGGCAAGATCATAGCTCACCACAGCCTCCTGGACTCAAGCAATCCTTCTGCCTCAGTCTACTGAGTGGCTGGGACCACAGGCGCATGCCACCATGCTTATTTATTTATTTATTTTTACTTTTATTTTTGTAGAGACAAAGTCTATGTTGCCCAGTCTGGTCTCCAGCTCCTGGGTTCAAATGCCTCCCAAAGTGCTGAGATTACAGACATAAGTCACCACGCCCAGTCCCCAGGTAAGTTTTTAAAGGCAACCCAAGAAAAGGTGATCTTCATTAGAGACTGAAATAGTTTTAGCTGGTCAGTGGCTCTGCTTCAGGCAATGAATCAAGCCAAAGGAGAAACAAGTCAAAGGATGAGGGTACCGGGACTTTTTCAAAGTTGCAGGTAAGGCAATCTTGTTTGGATCAGAAACCTATAATTTATGTAGATTCACATACATCCTTTTCAAATATGCATAAATCGGGGAGTGTGTGGAGTGTTGTAGAACTAAGTGCATTTGTATGTGTTCAATACACTGTATAATTGACTCAATTATCCATGTGAAGATTATTCACTTTTAATTTGCAATCTGGCTTCTCCCTTCAGTTAGGGTGTGTTTAGGTTGCTCCAGGAATGCCAACTAATTTAAATAATAATTTAAGTAAAATATAATTAGGAAGGAAAATTAAATTCAATCTTTTGCCAGCTCTTGAAGATTCTATTGCTGAAATGCAACTCTAATCCATTCGCGATCTTTTCATTCCCCAGTGTCTTTTTAATACTACAGAATATTATTGCTATCCAAAGATTATTGCAGTACTTTCCTCAGTAGCTTTCCTGCTTACCTCTTTCCAATCCAATCACCATTCTGCTGATAATCACCTTAACCAAAATAAACCCCCCAAATAAACCAACTACCACAAAATAAACCAACTACCACAGCTCCCATCACAAAATTTATTTGCTTGAAAACTAATGAACAGGGGAAAAAAAGCACTTAATTAATGGCTACCCATTTCTCATCAGATTAAGTGCACATGCCACAACCAGTCATCAAAGGCTTCTTCTATCCTAAATTCCTGATTGTTCTTCAAACTCCATTCAAACTGCCCTTCTACCCCTGGGCCTTCACCCACTTTTCTCTATTGCCCTGAAACATGCTATCTCACCCTCCTCATCTCTGCAGACCCGATGCATAGGCCACCTGCCCCAGGAAGCTTTGCCTGATCCAACATTCCATGCACTTCACTCCTCTCATCTCTGAAACCCATTATTGAACTTACTTCTTGATTTTTTTCAAAGACAGACCAAGGTATTAATATTTGTGGAAACATGTTGGCTCTCTAGTCTTGGATGAGATCCTTAACTGCACCCTCAGTGGCGATTCATCCCTGCTACTATAGACTCTAGCGAGGGGTGCAACAGATACTTGTCCATTGGAACTGCTAGCATACCATGAGAGCAGAATTTTAGTCTTTGGCATCCCCAGTGCCTAGCACAGTGCTTGGTACTTAGTAGGTGCTCAGTGAAAAGCTGAAGGAGTTAAATGAGAATGCAAATACAGGTGGGGTTGATGGCACAGTGCTCAGGATGGAACTGGAGGCACTACCCATCCTGTGGCACAATGCCCCACATCCTGGCACTGAGCCTACACCACCCTCCTCCCGGTCAGCCAAACGTCGGGGAAAAAAAAAATACACAAAAACACAGGCCCTACCCAGGTGTGTACATACAGTCTTGCATACACACACACACACACACACCACCTATCCAGGTACGTACATAGGGGCTTGTTTAAACATATACACACACACATTACCTATCCAGGTATGTGCACATATAAATAAAAATATAAATACATAAGTATAAATATATGCTCATCCTACACACATATACACGCACATCACCTATCCAGGTATGTACATAAGGCTTGTTTAAACACACACACACACACACACACACACACACACACATCACCTATTAAAGTATGTACATATATACACATAAAATAGACATATCAAAATAAATAAGTATGCTCAGTCGTACACACACATATCATCTATCCAAGTATGTACATATGCTTGTTTAAACATATATACACACACAATATCCAGGTATGCACATAAATATATAAACATAAATAAGTACCAGTTTATGCTCAGCCTTACACACACATAATCTATCCAGGTATGTACAGACACATATCATAAATAAATAAACATATATGCTCAGGCTTCACTCCAACACTGTTAGAGTGGCGTGAGACAATGGTGCCGCCGCTGGGCCCTCCGTGACCGCAGGAAAGGTCCCCGGGGGCTCGGCCCGCGGAAGCACGACGACGCTGGCGGGTGCGGCGCCACTTGGGCCTTCGGGGCTTCCGTCCGCCGCGGCCGCCATTGGCTGGGCTGGGCGCAGCTGTCAGACGGCGCTGGGGCGAGGGAGCTTCGAGGATGGCGGCGTCGGCAGCGCTGATCCTGAGGGAGAGCCCCAGGTAGCTAGGCGCTCGCCGTAGCCGCGCCCAGGATGGTGCGGACGAGGGCCGCGCTGGAGTGTCCCTGTTGCCTGCTGCCCTGCTGCCGCGGTGGGCCCGCGTGGGAGGGTGGCTGCCGAGCGCAGGGCCGGCTCTGCGGGTGCGCGGAGAGCGTGGGACCGTGCCGCCGCTCTGCCTTCGCGGCGCTGCTCCAGCGGAAGGCTCACGACCGCGCCCGGCAGCCGAGGCCTTAGAAAGGCGCGCTGTCTGTGTCGCCGCTCGCCGAGTTTGGTATCCGGAGCTTCCAGGCGCTGCCGTGAGTGCCGCCGGGTCACGTGGAACGGCATTCGGTTTCCCATTTCAATTGGCTTTCAGACCTTCTGAGGAGAAAGGCTCACGCTGGTGCTCCAAAGGTCTTTAATACCTAACATGTGTTAATGCCCCTTTAAAGTCAAGATCGAATAGGCCTCAAGCCACTAGTTTTTGGCTGGTAACAGTGTCTAGCCAGACTTTGGGAACGGAGTTTTTTGTTCCCATTTTATTTATTTTCAGTTAATTTCTATTTATGGTAGGTAAAGTTGGCTGTCCGTGGTTGTGATGTAATGTTTTCTTTTAAAATAAAATTGTTTAAGTAAAATGACACAGTTTAATGAAAAAAGTAATACAGGCGGTGTGTGGATACAGAAAAGTACTGAAGAATATAGGCAAATGATTGAATTTTGAGAATATCTAATTTGTGCTTGAATTGGGCAAAAATCCTCCTGAAGAGAGTTGTCATTATAAAGCTTTTCCTTTTTCTGGGTTACTTTGGTTACTGATAGCTTTCCTTTCCTCATCCCAATGTTAGTGAACACAAACTAAATCATTAAATTGTATCCAACATAAGTGTAGTAGAATTGTTCACATGATATCATTTAAACAGGGTTCTAAAACAGCTGTGTTTTTAGTAGCCCCCAACGGTTTTGTATGTAGTATTAAAAAAATTCCACCATTTGCCATGCAGTATTACTTATGTTTTTGTTGTAATTGCATTAATTGCTGCTTCCCGCATCCTGCTCCTGTCAGAGTTCTGTTCTGGGTTAAGTGGTTAATAAACACTCACTGTTAAATTAATGCCGTTCCCCTTCAGCATACCAGTGTCCCCTAGTAGTTTGCTTTGCCCACAAGAAAGAGAAAATTTGCCAAATGGACCTTCTCAACAAAAGTAATTTTGGGAGCATCATTTTGAAAATGTTCAGATTGTTCTGCCTTTTTTGCTGGCTGTAATTTGGTTTCCATTATCTAACTCAGACTTACTATATAGCAGTCAGAGTTACTAAAATGAAAACTTAATGTACAACTATAGTAAGTACAGTTCAACTTGGAAAACTCATTTTAAAACTTTGTTTTACAAATTTATTTAGCATGAAAAAAGCAGTGTTACTGATAAATGCACTAGATATAGGAAGATTTCCACGGTTTCTCACCCGGATTCTTCAAAAACTTCACCTGAAGGTTTGTATTTTTGTATTTCTCTAGCTTATAATACTTTCTTCTTATTTCACTGAAAGTCTGTGTTATTATTTGAAGAACTTTTTGCAAAGTATGGTGTTCTCTAGTGTGTTCCCCGGGCCACTGGGGCTATGGAAGATTTGATGTTTCATGGTCAAAAGTTTGGGAAGCTCTATCTTCAGTAAAGTTCTTTTTTTTTTTCTATTATGGAACTTTTCATAGTATTTTACAAGCTAGTGTTTGTGGTAAAGTATTTAAGGGGCAGATATGACATGTAACATTTTCCAAATGTGTTTGACCTTGGAACTGTTTTATTATGGTATATGTTTTGGAATGAATAGTCTGTGGAACATGTTTTAGAAAAATTCTAATTATATTGTTTCATTATTTCCCCTTAAAAATAATTCTTTGGTATTTGCTATCAACTATATTTAATATTTCATTTAATTTTGCTCCACTTTCCCATTTATTTATTTATCTATTTTTTGAGTTGGAGTCTCACTCTGTCGCCCAGACTGAAGTGCAGTGGCCACTCCCGGCCACCACATCCTCGACCTGCTGGGCTCCGGTGATCCTTCCGCCTCAGTCTTCCAAGGAGCTGGAACTACAGGCACGCGCTACCACACCCGGCTAATTTTTTGATTTATTGTAGAGATGAGGTCTCGTCTGCCCAGGCGGGTCTCGAACCCGCGGGCTCAGGCAATCCACTCTCCTCAGCCTCCCAAGACGCGGGATTACAGGCTGAGCCACCGAGCCCGGCTTCCCTTTTATTTTAAGGGTGTGGTTGTTTTGGACATGTGAACATTTATTAATTCACTACCTGGTCACCCATCCAAGTAAATTTCTTTATCAGGTTATAAAAATTTAATTCCACCCGGCACATATTTGTGGAGCCTCCACTAACTGCTCTGCATGGTACCCCATCCAGCAAGAATCAAGAGTCGGGCCCCTTACTCTTTTCTCTTTCCTGGACATCAGCCATCCCCAAAGCCATACCCTTTCTCCTTCTGAAGTTTTTCTCAAGTCTAAGTCCTCCTTACAGTCTCAGGTAGATCCTTGCTATCTCTTTGATAGATGACTGTAGTTACCTTCAAACTGGTTTCCCTGCCTGTAATCTTCTTGTGCCCTATTGCTTCTTCATAATACTATCCCAATTTTTTTGCTATGAAAACTATTGATCATATTTTTACAGGTTTCAAAGCCACCAGTGACTGTCCATTGCTCCATGGAGAAAAGTTCAAAATCCTGAACATTGTGTATAAGACTCATTTTACTATGGCTGCAACCTGCATTCTTCCCACTTTCTAAGTCCTCCAATCACACTTGATGGTGCCTTTTTACTACCATGTGCCATGAGCATTTTAAACTATGTGTCTGTGTGTATATGCTTTCCCTTGCCTACTAATGTTCTTTTCCCCTTCTTTATTGTGTAAACTATTCTTCCTTCAAAGATTTCCCAGCAGTTCTCATTCTCAGCAGTGTTATTTTTTTTCCTTTTGTGTTTCTAGAACTCTTGGTTCATTCTCGCCTCACTTTAGTACTACACTATAAGTATTTGTTTCTTGAGTAGAAGGCAACCACATCCCTAAATCTCTTAACCAACCTACCTTCCTCTGGTTTTAAATATCTTGGGGAGTATATTTTACTCATCTTTATATTTCCCATACCTAATACATTGCTACTTATACAGTTGACACTCAGTAAATGCTCTTGGTGTTAGTTCTTTTCCTTACCATGGCAGACATAAAACAATGTAGGTCCTGTATTCCTGGCTATAAGGAGTTTGTGATATAGATGGAGAGAAAGGAGGAACAACAACAGCTGCAGCAACATTCTGTGGTATTTGTAGTTTATGTTGCTTCCTTGTGACTGGAACAGTTCTAATGACTTTGCATTATAACTCATCTAATCCTTACAGCAACTTGAAGAAATAGGTAATGTTGTTACCTTTATTTTATTCATGAGGAAACTGAGGTAGAAACCAGTTAAGTAATTGACCCAAGGTCGCACAATTAGTCTGTAAGGCAGTCTTGCTCTAGAATCCATTTCTTAACTCATTGTACTAAACCTCAGCAAAGAGTGTGGAATGTTTTATAAATCAGACTGAGAGTGAATGATGCAGGCAATAGATACAGAAGTTCTGTTTTATTTCCTGAGTGTATAGCTGCCATAAATATGTCAAATGGTATGGAACGAGAAACTCATACACATCTCTCATTCTTCATACTGAGGAAAGATGGAGTACCTTCAGGGAAAGTTGTGATGTATAGTTTGTCTTTGACCCTCAGTCATATGTGAAGTTAATGTCTATCTTAGAGTTAACTGAGTGACTGAAGCATTCCACAGAGGTGCTTGAATGGTGTGCCGTCAGAGATAGGGAAGTGGAGATGAGAAGATGTGCTTGTTGGGAACTGAAGCTACTTGGGTTAAAAACATATGTATATGAATACTTGCCTGCTAAGAAAATATCAGGAAAGGTGTACATTTTTTTTTCTGGACAGTTTCAGAGGATCTTCTAGAGGCTCTTAAATCAAGTTTGCAGTGAATTTCAGAATCTTCCAGTTTTCTCTTATGTACCCAGATTTGTCAAGTTAGCCTTTGCCTTGAGACAAGCAGAACCTGTAAGACACTGGAACGAACACGAGGCAGGCAAATTGGTGAAGAGGTTTGGGGGGTTTGTTGCCACTCTGAATGTCATCAGCTTAGCATTTTGATTTTACCCAGTTTAATCTGTTTATGGGCTGATGATATCTGTTTTTGTACAGACGGTTCCTTGGAATCCTTAATATAAATCAACATGAGGAAACTAAGACAGCTTAGGTTTAGAATATGGGCATGCCTGATTATGGATCTGGGATTCCTTTTTGAACTGGCCACCTCCCTAACTCGTCCTAGCATATAAAAATATGTGAGAATTTTTTTTTCTTTTGGTTTTTTATAATATTTGGTGGGTGCTGCTGACATTTAATGTTCAGGGACTTTTTTTTTTTGAGTTGGAATCTCACTCTGTCGCCCAGACTGGAGTGCAGTGGCCGCTCCTGGCCAC